TTATATTAGATTAACTCTCACTCGAACCTTTTACTATCTTTAAATTTGCATTAATTATATAAATATGAAAAAATATCTTTTTATATTACAATATTTTTTTAGTCTTATTCCCGAAGACGTCTAAGACCTTGTTTAATCTGACCTATATAACACTGTTTTAGGTGCGGTCAATCGCTATTCGTTTCAATCAATTAGATACATTAAAGTTGAAGGCCAATTTTTTTTATACATTACAATAACCCATTACATTATTGCCAAAATTGTCTATTTAAAATATATTTATAGATGTTGTGTAGATACAGAATCACGATCATTCACATTGCAAAATATAACCGTGAGTAACGTTTGAAAACAGATGATTCGTACTGCCTCCAAGAATAGCTGTGTTTGTTGAGCCAAAATTCAGTTCCGTTGAAAACAAAATTATTAAAACGGAAGGTGCAGAAGCATTTTTTTTCTTTGTCCTGTTTTCTTTTCCTTGTAAACGGGACCAGAAACGACGAAAAATGCCCGCTGGATAAAAATATCTTGGCGCCTGCTGATTCATTCCCGATTTCCACATCTCCGACGAGCAAAAGATACATCTGTTTATGCGTCTGGCATCGTTTCAAGAAACCGAGGTACACGTATCTCGCGATCGACTATTGAATATATGGATCTAGTCGGACTTTCCGATCCAAAATTCTGTGTAAATTGGTTAGCTTGCGTGAGTCGATTTCAAATTTAATGCTTAGATTTTATTTCGTTTTTTTAAAAAGACTATGGATATTCGATCGATAGCCTATGTATGCATAAGTATACCACGATGTAATTTTCATCGTTTTAAACTGTATTTTAAGTAGTTTGGACTTTACGGGTGGTGGTCTTCATGAACAAGGCGTTTATATTCGGTGTTTGCTTGCCGGATAGCTAAAAATAACGGAAAACATTGTCACCGAGCCAAGGGAGTGATTCAGATGGGTATATTTTGAAAACTCTATCAGGTGTCTCCTTATTTTATGTTGAACTGTGCGTGTATAAGGTTTCTTGAAATAGATACGGCGTTAATGAATGTAACTGAACACTGCACTCTAAGAGGCTCTCAGGTTTTCTTATTATATTACACACTGTTAAAACTTGTGAATTATCCTGACTAAATTATAAGATTAAATCAAATATTTTAAAGGTGTGAATTTGAATGATATCAATTGATCCAAATATATATAGATAGATTAAGGTGTCATTTCATAAGATCTAGTGACAGAAAATTACACATTGGTAATAGAACTCTAGCACTGCTTCCAAAAAAATAGAATCTAGTCACAGAGGAATATTATTGATGATAGAGGTTTTGATACTGCTTACAGAAAATTACTTTACTACACTGAATGCTGCTGGATACTGAAGACTAGACACTTCTAGAAATAGAGCAAATATTGCTTATAAAAGACTAACTAACTACTTCTTGTCCTATAAGATTAATGGAAGTCTAGATTCTGTTTGCAGAAGATGAGATCCTATTTCCAAACTAAAATTTGTTGTTAAAGGACTAGTTATTGGCGATAGAAGACTAGATACTGCTGGCAGAATATTAAAAACTAGTGTGTGATGATTAGATCTTGCTTGCAGAAGGTTGGACTTAGTCTTCCATCTCGCTAATGGAAGACTAAGTACTGCTTCTAAGATTACAAACTGCTTGCAGAAAACTGCAAACTTCTAACAGAAGACCAAATATTAGTAATTGAAGCCTCTCTGCCCTTTTTATCGGTGATCTCCCTTATACTCTTTTGCCCTCCATTCTTCCGTCTACAAAGCTTTCCATCTGTCGGTTTGTCTCCCTAGGTGTCCAAAATAGCTAAGGTATGATTTATCTATTTTTATATATGTTTCTCCTCTGGAGCTACCGGTGTTAATCATAATTCGCACCTAGGTACAAGAATTGCTTAACTTCCCCACAACGTTATCGTTCTTAAATTGTCTGCTTATTTCTATTTTATGTTGATTCACTGAATATCTCTGGGGTTGTAATCATTTATTTGCAGTATAGTTTTTATTAACCTGTTTTCTTTCAGCAAAATTCTTTAACATTACAAAACTAAATAAACAGAATCTCTATAGTCTATTGTCTTCTTTGTAAATAGTGGTTTTATACAAAGTATATGTATATTTATTAATATGGAAGTAACTCATAAAAATAAAGATAAAATACTACTCTTTGTTCTTGTGTAGTTTTAAAAGTACCTTTAACATCTGGATAAACATCTGGCTAGCTACCTGCGTAACATAGCCAGCTGATTGCCACTTACAGATTACCTTAAAAACGAAATGTCACTTAAAAGACCTTTTTGGTACACGCTGCACAAAGTATAAATGCAGTTTAAACCGTACCGAGAAAATTATCTCCAATTGGAATTAGCGCGAACATCTTAAGCAGGAGATTATGGTCTTGGGAATATGAGGAATAAGACTGTTGCGATATTATCTTTCATTGCCGCGGCGGTACAAATTCCCTTTCTAACGGTAACTCTTAGTTCGGTTAGGTGACATAAGACGTGCTTCTTCTTCTTTGTTTTCTTTTTCGTCTCATTTAACCCTTGCATAGTTTTGTCGAATGGCCCGTTAGTCACGGCGCACCTTTACACGTCTTTTGTACTTACATAGGGAACTCTTTCACAAAACGGTTTATCTGTACCTAAGTAGTAATCCGATATTAATCTCCAGGAGAGTTATGCATGCTTTGACCATGTTTAAACTTTAATACCGAATCAATCCGCGTGTCGTTCTGGCGTAAAAGGTCAGACTCACTGCGGGCAATAAGTTATTGCTGCGGCGAGAGAAGTGCGCAATTAAATTTTTGTTCATGATATGGCCATTACACGATCACGATGGAACAATGCATCGTCTAACCCGGTAAACCAATTTAACGGATCGAAACAGGAAGGCGCACCTTGATTCTTCGTCTTAAAGCGAGGCGCCCGCATCAATAAGTTTATTAATGCCGTGCATACGCTTCAGTTATTCTTACCCCTCCCTGGTTGATTCTTTTTAGTTTTCAGGGTTTATTATACTGCGGATCAACGGTGACCTAATAACCTTTTTACGTTCAGATCGATTTTCTTTATTACGAAATTGATGCTTTTACAACATCAAATATTAAGAATTGATATTTTAAACATTCAACGAAAAATAATACGGGATTTTTCTTGAAAATAATTAGGAAACTTCTCAGACCACGTTTCGGTTAAACCGAAATCTGATTGCTGTGAATAAATAGTTTTTCGTGTTAAAGATGATTCGTTGTGGTTAATTTCAAATTTGTGAAAGTATGTTGCAAAATTAATCAGAAGTAGTGATGTGTTAATATCTTCTTTTCTGGTTGATCTAAAATTAGAGAGATGATGAGAATTTAGTTTATATAAATAATTACGTTATCTTTACTAGAGCGGTTTTATAGATTCGATGAATCATTTTCTTAAGTATCTAAATACAGTTGCTTAGTTTAAAGTTGCGAAGTTTTTGTCTATTTTAGGAGATATATGAGAATGTAAATAAATATATGAAAGTGTTGAAAACTGGTCAGATTATCTTTAAATTAGTTCCGCGTAGCTTTAATTTTATATAATGATCTCCAATACGATGATCTTCATTCATTTCAATTGGATCTGGAGTCACAACAGTGTGACATCACTCAGTGTATTGATTAAAACACAACAATATCCTTTTCTTACCGTAAATAATTGCTGTAACAAATACAGCAATTTATTGATTGCTGTGTATGATTCATGGCTTCATCATTTCTTTGCTTTTAGTTTAATTAGAGTCAACCTTTTCACTACTGCAGCTTTTTCAGCTGCTTCACATAATTCCTTTATGTTCAGATAATAGAAAATAAAATACATAAAATGACGATTCCACGAAATATAAAAACTCTCATAAACGCCACTTGATACACATAAATACTCAATAGATGGCACATTTACCGTAAGATTTACACCCTATAACTTTCATCTTTAAATTCATTAAATTTTTCACCATGTCAACATAAATTGTTAAATGAAGAGTAATTATTGAAAGATTATTTATGCACAAAGTTGACGCATAACATACGTTTTAACAGACAAATTTGTAAGATTTGTTTGGACTTGTTCCAACCTTCAATGGTGTATTATCTACGTGTGGATATAACATCATGTTACAAACATAAATTTTATTTTTATCTGGTGCTAACTGAAATCGTTTTATTTGAACATCATTTAACAAAGAATTACTATTTATATAGTTAGTATGTATCTAAATGCAGTACCTATTAATATAACAATGTAGAGTTTGGAACGACCACAAACAATCATCTTCATTGAGAGGATTGGAGAATATTAAAAAATACGGCGCCTGATAACAGTTGCGGTTGCGGTTTAGAATAATCAAGTTGAGAGAGAAAAAGAGATTTAAGTACGCTCCAAATCGTTTCCTTTACGTTTATGAATAGACAATGACAAATTGTCGGAGACGTTCTGTTAAGGAAGAAGAGGGTTCCCGTAATCGGCGCGGTGCCACCGATTACGATAAAATTAATTGCGGACCATCTACGATGAAAGCGGCGGTCGTAAATGTTAATTAATTACCGTTCGATTATCACAAAGTATAATTTGTCCTATTGATGGTTTAGCACAAAAGCTCCTCTACTCGGGTCCAGACGAGCGATACCGTTTATGGTAGCCGGGATATAAACGCTCTCGAATTAACTACAAATTATATTGTCGTTGATTTAACTTCTTTAGCTCTCATGTTAAAATATTACGATCGTCGCCGTTGCCATTATGCGGTCGCAAAAAGGGCACTCGGCAATCGTTTTATGACCGTGACCATACGGCGTTTGTTGTCTATGGGCTTCAAACGGTTCATTGGAATTTGAAACTGATACCATAGCGAAGAGAACTTGCCATAACTCGCTTCGAGAGAAAACGACTCTTTTTTACTGTCCCTAATACTTTGTAGTAATACTTTTTCTTGTTTTGTTTCAGGATATTAGTTGGTGCCCCCAAAGGTCAATCTCATAAGCAGTCTTTACAGGGTGTTAAAAAAGGTGGAGCAGTTTTTAAATGCGACACGACGAGAAACGATTCATGTAGCGAAATAGAATTCGACCCAAGAGGTAAGTCCCTAATAAACAAAAATATTTTATATCAATCCTCATCTCAATAATTGTATTGTCATAAATAACAATTAGTGGCGGTAATGGTAAAGTTCAAATCGACAATGGACAGAAACGATCTCAACGAAGTTTATTGGTGGCAATTTTCGCGTTTTAATTGCGCCGTATCGAATGTAAATTACGTTGCGGTTCCGCGCGCCGGATGGGTTTAATTAACGCGTTTCTGTGTGGTCCTTTCAATTGGTAACCGCGTCCAGATAGGAAAGGTATACGAGCGTTGGTAGTATGTAGACGCTCGGTGTTACCACTCAATTACTATCTGCAAACATCGACGTTGCCTCGTAATGGGACAAAACTTCACCTCGGGATACTTGTTACCATCAACGGCCGTGAATAACTAAACATTCTGAAGAGATCTTATAAGTAGCAAAACTTTGTTTAACTAAATCATAAAGTAGAGAAAATTTGTACTTAAATGGAATAATATGAATTAATTATGATTGACTTAAAAGAAAATAGGTTAGTTCCACTTAAGTAATAAATTATGGTAAATTCAGAAAGGTAATTTATTTCCACCATCTGTCGTCACATTAATAAAGCTACATTTCTCGTATAACGTGATACATAGGCGGTTATTCGTTTTAAATCAAGTTGGATTAGTATCGAAGCATCCACAACACGACGTCTTCTTTATATCACGTCAATTTCTGGTTAAGCTAGATTGAAGTTTACGTAATTTTTCTTTCTCCATCTGTGCTTCATCAATCTGTACGCGCTTAAGGCTAAAACATCGACGTAAATCTCCCGGATTCGTAATTACCTTACTACTGCCAGACGCTAACGAGATATCGAGCTGTCCTCTCACCTGAACACGTTTATAGAAATCTTCTTAAAATAATTATTCAACAACCATGATGAATAACGAAGACGCAGGCAACCGCCGCGACGACGTAATTAGATTTAGCGGACGTAAGAAATTAGATCGTTGTCAGGGGCCGTGTTCGCGGCGGATTTAAGCATATCCGTTGAATGATTAATAAGTGCCGTAGCCATTCTGAGAGTGTTCAGAAGGCTTCCGAACGACCGTTGACGTAATTAAATTCCTTCGGACGAAGCGTCTATAAATCCACGTCTCGGACGGTAAAAGTCTTTTTCATCTGGGGCCGATTTAACGAGATGATGTCTTCCGCTTTTTTACCAAACCAGGTTTGGCGGTTATTGAGTAATTCATTTCATTCATACCTGATTCATTAATAATAGTAACCGATTTATAAATAAGTGTGATTTTTAAGCTGTGATTCAGTTATATGTTGGCTTTTATTGTTTCTAAGAAAATCAAGTAAAATAATAAAAACTTTATTCGCAAAAATCTTATGCGAAGTTAGTCTCCAATTAGATAAGATTTTACTCGCAGAGTTTTGATTATAACAAGAGAACCTCTCAACTGATTTCGATGCACAATATTTCATTCGAAAGATTAATCCTAGTCTACTAATTAAGTGGATATGCCCAATTCGAAATCTCGAATTCCGCTCAAACGCCAGAATATTGCGAAAGTACACGAAAATAACACAAAAATGACCTCTTTTTGGTGGTCATAGCACGGGATTCGGAATGTTTTAGAAAAGAAGTTTTTAGTGCAAAACTTGTAGCAAACTGTATTCTTAAGAATATTGCTCTTTTGTACTTTTGCTCTCACAATCAGATGTATAAATATGGAGAAAAGATCAAAAAAGCTAAAATTAGATGAAATCGTGGTTTTACATAGTGTTGGTGGTAAACCACAAAATTAGGAAAGTTTTAGCAAAAAAGTGTTGGTATAAAAGTTATAGCAAACTTTATTCTTAACAATATTGCTCTTTTATACTTTTGCTCTCAGATGCATAATTATAGAGAAAAATTTGAATTGATGAAAATTAGATGAAATTGTGGTTTTACGTCTTGTTATAGGTAGTGCATGGAATTGGAAACCATTTAGAAAGAAAGGTTTAGTATAAAACTTGCAGCAAACTTTACTCTTAACAACATTGGTCTTTTACTCTTGTGCTCTTAGATGCATAAATATCAAGAAAAATTCGAAAAACTGAAAAATACATGGAATCGTGGTTTTACATTGTGTTGTTGGTAGTGCATGGAATTCGAAATATTTTAGAAAAAAAGTTTTAGTATAAAAATTGTAGCAAACTTTATTCTTAACAATATTGCTATTTTACTCTTTTGCTCTCAGATGCATAAATATCAAGAAAAATTCGAAAAACTGAAAAAATACATGAAATCGTGGTTTTACATTGTGTTGTTGGTAGTGCATGGAATTGGAAACATGTTAGAAAAAAGTTTTAGTATAAAAGTTGTAGCAAATTTTATTCTTAACAATATTGCTCTTTTATGCTTTTGCTCTTAGATGCATAAATATCAAGAAAAGTTCGAAAAGGTGAAAATTAGATGAAATTGTGGTTTTACGTCTTGTTGTTGGTAGAGCACGGGATTCGAAACGTTTTATAAAAAAGGTTTAGTACAAAACTTGTAGAAAACTTTATTCTTAACAATATTGCTCTTTTACTCTTTTGCTCTTAGATGCATAAATATCAAGAAAAATTCGAAAAACTGAAAAATACATGGAATCGTGATTTTACATTGTGTTGTTGGTAGTGCATGGAATTGGAAACAATTTAGAAAAAAAATTTTAGTATAAAAGTTGTAGCAAACTGTATTCTTAACAATATTGCTCTTTTATGCTTTTGCTCTTAGATGCATAAATATCGAGAAAAGTTCGAAAAGGTGAAAATTAGATGAAGACGTGGTTTACCTTGTGTTATTGGTAGTGCATGGAATAGGAAACGTTTTAGAAAAAAAGTTTTAGTATAAAAGTTGTAGCAAAGTTTATTCTTCACAATATTGCTCTTTTACACTTTTGCTCTCAGATGCATTAATAACGAGAAAAGTTCGAAAAGGTGAAAATTAGATAAAAACGTGGTTTTACATATTGTTCGTAGAGCATGGGATTTGGACCGATTTAGAAAAATAGTTTCAGTATAAAAGTTGTAGCAAACTTTATTCCTAACAATATTGCTCTTTTACTCTTTTGCTTTCAGATGCATTAATGATTTTACATCTTCTTTTTGGTAAAGTATGGGATTCCAAAGTTTCAGAAAAGAGTTTTGGAATTATGACACATTTTCACTTTCGTAGTGGCCAAGCATAAAGCGTTTGATTGAGTTATTGTTCATCAAAATCGACCAAGAGGTTCTCTTGTTATAATCAAAATAGTGTATACATGTAAAAACTTATCTAATAGGGCTAACTTTCAATCATAAATAATCTATAAGAATTGAAATCATCAATAGATTTTAAAGAATTAATAAATCACCGATGCAGAACAGATTTAGTTATCGTGATCAGTTTTCCCAGAAAACAATCGTATTGTAAAGAATAAAGCCATTTCACTTGAGGTTCAATCTGAACCGTAGGTCTTTCCATCTGATAACGCAATAACAATAACGACGCGAGAGACCCCTTTATAATAAAGTATTTAATCGAAGCGACGGCGGTGATTTGCATATCGATCGAACAATATCGTCGTCGTCTTCGGCGAGCGATCCACCGAGATGAATAAAACATGACCGCGGTTCTTCCTTTGGCCCGCTTTATGCAAAGATATAACTCCGGTATAGGAAGTAGAGAATCCCGACCCGGATCGACTGCTGTCATCATCATCCACGGCGTTTGCAGATCGGTGCCATCGTATTGTTATGATCCGTGTACGTTATTGCGATTGCCGTTCTCGTCGAAATCCTCCTCCTCCTATTCTGACCTCTCGGTTAAGTTTTTGCGGCGGCCGCCTCTTTCTCACGACGCCGTAACGTATGCCGAAGACAGAACATCACGGTCAGATCATCCCTGAAGCCGGGTCCCAAGACCTCATTGTATGTAGATCCCGCACGCTTACTCTATATATAGGGCGAAATATTTTATTGCTCCGATTTTGCAATGTCGTAAAACTGTTTACCATCTCTGTATAGAGCGCAGGGCCGCCGCCGCGGATGGTAAAAGAACGCTGCCCATTTTATTTGTGCAAATATCCGACGCCCATATACGGAAACAACGTTACGACCTCAACCTTTGTCAAGTTCTTTTTTTTTACATTAGATTATGTCACTATTATCCGAAGAAAAAAATATATTAAAAAACGCTTATGATTGCTATATTGTGTGATAAACATTTTTCTCTACAAAGTGTACCGCGGATTTTTTTAGCGATTCAATTTATCGATCCGAAACTCAATTACACTACCGATTTATACACTACGCGAAGATAATTCTCGATTTAACGGTCTGTTTTCAATCACGTTCGCGATATGAGGCCTGCTAACTGATGGCGTCAACGCTGGATAACGCCTTCTTTTAACGTTTGCCACTGGAACTCGAAGTCCTTTCGCATTGCCGTTCCAGCAATCGCGCGTAATTAACAGTTAGGTTCCTATAATTGCGTTTATGGCGAAAGAATTGGAAATTACGGGTCGTCAATGAAGAGGTTATCTCGTTAAGTATACAGGGAACTATATAAGCACTCCTTGTGCTTGTATCATTTATAAAAATTCGGGATACTTTGATGTCTGTTATTTAGGACAGTAACAATAACGACTTAATGCTTACAATTTAATAATAGGCTTAATGTTTATGGGTGTTAAGAAATTTTTTTCGACATCAAACAAGAAATCTTTTAATTTATTCTTTCTGTTTTACTGAATGGTAACGACTTAACCACATAACACCCACTAAACTACAAACGCGTAGACGTTTAAAAGGCGTAAACTATTTATCGCTTTGAATGCCGACATTTAGAACTAATTGAATAGCCTGTATTCAAGTCATTCAAGTCCCCGACGAGAAGGCTTTTAATTTCTGTAATCAGATCGGGGTTGTAACGCTCTAAAAATACTCGTAGTCCTTTGGAGTGCTGCACAGGTGGTTAAGGGATTCATTTTGACAGAATAACAGATC